TTTTTTCATCAATCTCGTCATCACCATTTTTAAAAAGCGTGTTTTTGATAGATGGCTAAGCTTACAGGCTCTTTGGCATTTCCTTATTCAATGAATTTTTTGAATCCCTTGAACTGATGTGCTTCCACATTCCACTGCTATTCACCTGTAATAAGTACACGTTATTTACCTCTATGCTCAAGAATCTGAAGCTGCCTTGCGCTCGCTCACCTCCTTTGTCATGTTGATAGAATGGCTAGGTTCCTGAATGGCTGCTAAAGGAATTTTGATGACATTTCCGCTAGCCATTGGAATGTGTAGGTGAGCCTCCGTCTTCACTGCATGAATCGTTGCTTGATTCTCTTCCAGCTCAATCTCTATTGGCTCTCCCTAAAGATAAACATACACTTGTATGGGCGAAACTACAGAAAAGATGCGGATGTAAATTCGAACTTCGCTCTGTCTTCTCTTAAGATCCTCTTTCTTCCTCAAATGGAAGTCAGGCATTGGATCATCCAAGTACTTTAAGTCTGTCACAGTGAAGAATTTCTCCATCAACTTCCGGACGGCAACCATAACCACTAGCTGAAGACAATCAAGATCAACAAGATGATGATAATGGCTTGGCCATAACTGAGGCGCACCATTATCGGAAAGGAAATAGATGTCGATTTGATTGATTTAACCGTCCATAAAACGGCCAGACATCCTACTTGAAACGCTGTAAACAGATGGATCTTCTTTATAGGCACGTGCCGGATGTAGATGGTGTCAGGTTGGTACCTAGAATAACGGACGACATAGATAAAAAAGAGGTATGACCTGAAGCTTCTTCAGAAAATGTTCTACCAAAAATCAGAATTGATATGGGACTAATAAGTTATGCAAATGGATGAAGCCTAGTCAAGTTGCATTAGAAGACGAAAATGTCATAACCTATTCTAATTCTAGGGATATCAAAGCACGACAGGGTGCACTTACTTCATTGGCATGAGTAGTAGCAAGATACGATCAAACAGTTGAATACCGCCCAATGCGGATATACCCATATAAAGAAACACTCCATAAAGTACTGGCATTGGAATTCGGCCCAAGAACGTAGTCATTAAAACAGACAGACCAATCATCAAGAACGTGATGATACCAGTAACACGTTGCTCTCTGAAACAGA